TTGGGCCAGGCTGTCCTCTTACCTACAGTGCCAACAACTCCATTACCAGTGTGTAACAAACTGCAGACAAGTAACTGCTGTCACTCCGAAATGCAGCCCCTGAATTACAGCAGGAACCAGCTGTTAGTGAGTGTCTTAAGACTGGAGGAAGCAGAAAGGGGAGTGAGGGTCAGTATTTTAACAGGTGAAAGTCTGAATCACAGCACAATGAGTAAATCCCACTGTTCAGATCTCCCGAAAGTGCATGGCACACGTGCATTTAGTCTTGTTCAAGGCTTTGCTCCTGATGCCACTGAACTACCTTTTCTGTAATAAGACCCAGATTTAGTTTTCAGGGAAGAAACTCTAGATTCTGATATATGAAAACAAGGATTTGCAGGTTTACAGGTCAGGCATAGTGGGTTACCACGCTGTGAACAGTTCAGAGAAGTATGGGCATGACCTGTTCATTCAACAGGCAAATAATACTGGCGTTTACTTTGTAGTAAGTCTGGCTAACCCCAGCAACTGTCTCGACTTAGCTGGGTTTCTACTGGTTAATCCACAGCAGCTCTAGGGGGATGGGATTGAAAATCCACTCCCAAAGTGGGCCTGGGAGCTCTGATTTTTTGCCTCCATATGGATTGAACTTGGCAGCACACATAGCTCCCATTCAGGTGAAATTATGTTGAGTAATGGAATAGATGAAACCAAGAGAAAAATAGGTTTTTGCGAGTTCTCTGCAGATGGCTGCAGCTTGGGGAGTGGGGAAGGGCAGGGCTGGAAAAGGGTCAGGACCAGCCAAATTTATAACCTAGGAAGGGAGTAAAAAGGCAAGAAAGTCCATGATTTGGCAGAAAACTTGTGCGCATCAAGAGAAGGATCCTAAATGCCTGACGGCTCCAAAGGCAATATGGAATCTGTCTATAATCCTGGGCAAAATTGCTCCATATTTTGTGTGTACCTGCTGCCAAAGCATTAAAATACAAACTCCAGGTACCCACAAGGAACAACTCGAGAAAGATCTGCTTGAATTCCTGGGAGATTTATTGAGGATGAGTGAATTGGCTGAAAAGCCTTGAAAAGCCTTGGCAGAAGACTGAAAACTTTTGTTCTAGTAACACATAGGTGAGCTGAGGACAGAAACAGCATAGCAATCTGTTCAGTCCCGAGGGAGCTTAAAGCAGAAGGACTTGATGTTTGAGGCCAAACCCAGCAGCCCCTATGAGTGTCACATCACAGCAACTTCCTAGTGCTGGTGGCTGTGTCAAATTCAATACAGAACAGTTTACACTGCATGGAGCTTAAATGAAAGAGCCTCAGAAGTATGCTGTACAATGGGACATCAGAGAGGTATTGGTAGCACGGGGTGGCTGATAGCTGTGAGATGCAGCAATTATTTCTCTCTTTTAAACACACACAGAGATTCTTGTAGCTTTCATGTGAAACACAATCCTTAAAAGAAGTAGAAGGCTTATTATACCAACCCTAAAATATACTTGCAAGTGTTCCAATCACATGTTTTTACTAGCAGAGTCATTATGGTTCTTTCACAGAGATGAAAGTAGCAAAGAGCGTCACTTAAGCGATTAAAACAACAAAAAACACTATTAAGGACAGCAGTTAAGCAATGAAATTAAAATGCATTCAAATAGCCCCCCCATAGCCATTGCTTTTAAGAAAAAGCTGTTTAAAGTTTAATAATATCAGATAGGAAATTGTTTGCTACCACATCCCACAGAATAAGACAGTTTCCTATAAGCAAGACGAGTCTCTGCATGGGTGGATCTACGCTGAGCCCTGATTTAGGGAAGCACTCAGGCTTGTGTTTAAATACCATTCCTCAATAGGCATGTTTTTCTGATTTGGACTCCAGTAGTAAAAGACATTCCCACAACAATAATAAAACGTAAGAAAAACTTGTTGACTTTATAATTGCAGAATTCCTTCTGAGTGAACCATGACATGGATCATACCAGCAAAACTGTGGTTATTCTCTAAAGCATAGATACTCAAAACATCATGTTGGTGGTATGAACGCCAGATGCTCTGGCTGCAAACCACAGGTTCTCAGTGGAGCTCATGGAGAACCTGGATGGATATCAAACACACTGATGATTTTTAGAAGAGGGTAGAAGCAGGGGATAGGCACTGCTAAACCACCCTGGAATGGTCTCTAGAACCATTTTATATCTAACATTACCTGACCGTCAGTTCAGAACTGGGTGAACTACTGCTTACAAGTGTCCCTGCTGTTCCAGCTGGAATGGCTGTCATGAAAAGAAGTGCTGATTCTGCTGGGAGGGGAGGACAATCTAGTTGACTTCACTCTCATTTAGAGTCATGCTTTTGAAGCACATCTCGCCCTGGGAAACTAGGAACTCACTGCAACTATCCACTGAAATTAAAGAGAACCTTTCCATAATGCTCCCGCCTCAGCTTCTTTGTGATCTCTGAACACAAATACCTGAAACTTCCTTATCCACCTGCATGTTCCCACAAGGATTCCTGTGAAATGCTTTGGTCCAGGGTGGGGTAGCAAAGGTGTCAGCAACACCACTTTCTTTTCATGTAGTTCGTGTAATTCGTGACTACCTTTTGCTCCATAATTTATATGATCTTCTATGTTTTCAGATCATTATGGGCAGAGCTTGAAGCCCATATTCAGTTTTAATTTTGGGAAAAAAACCAGCACAGGGATCTGTGTCTAGAATTTATTCTGATGCGATCTAAAAGCTCTTGTGATATTTATTTATTTAACATTCCTGACACTACTTACATAGTTGATGTGCACAGAGTAACCTTTCCTTAAACAAAACCTATGCTCTGAGTTGCCAGCTACAAGAGAGTGCAGTTCCTGCATCTCTGAGTGCTGGCCATCACACAGACTGGCACAGCCTGGATCAGATAATGTGGAAACTGAGCTGGGGATTATCAGCAGAGCTGCACAAGGTATCTGAAGAGGAGGTAACATTTGCAAGGGATACAACAGCCAAGTCACCTACAAAATTCCTGTGGAAACCCAAGCTTTACCTTATGTAACCTCCGTTATGCCAAACAAAGAATTTACTTAGGGCCAGATCCTGCTCCCTTTGAAGTAAGTGGAAAACTTTCCATTTGCTTCACTGGGGAAGATCAGACCCACAGGGAGTCAAGTTTGTGTCTGTAAACAGGACAAAGAAGCAAAAGGGACATGCGAGGCCACGTGTAAGAGTTTCCTGGCAGGGTAGGTACCAATAACTAACAAGTAAAAAACCCCTAATGCTTTACAAAACCATTCTAATCCACATTACTTTCCTCTGTCCATACTTGCTTCTCATGGACCGAAAGGAGAATTGTGAAATGTTTGGCACACAGCAAGGACTTTGGTCTAGATTTTGTGTTGTGTTCATGGATGCTTCTGCTTTGTAACCTTGGTCTGGAAGCACCCCTTGATGCAGCTAAAAGGTGTCATCAAAGCAGATCCCAAACCTGACAGCCTTTACTTCATTGGAGCTTAATGAAGAAATAACTCACTTTTCTCACTGCTGCATTTGAACTGCTTAGGCAAAGACTTGCTAATAGTTGGGCCTTGCATATGATGTGATGCATCCACCCTCTTTGCCTCCTGGGACATGAATCACTCATGAAGTGCAATTCATCACAACTACTTCACCTTCTGCCCCATGAAGTCATTTGTGGCACAAAAAGATTTTATTCCCTTGTGACTAGTGGGGAAAAAAATCCAGTCATAGTTTACAATGGTTATGCCACTAATATACACAATGTTGTGTTTTCCTTCTCTGAGAGACAGTGTTTGTTCTTCTCCCATCTGCATTCATTTAACATGTTATTCAGCTATTTGGTTTCACTATGTGATATTTAACAGTTTGCAGCAGGGAGGATGCACTCTTTAAACAGCTTTTCTCCCCACAGTTATGTAATAAATGAGCCTATATTTATATTTATAGTTAACTGAATCTGATAATATCACCTAGTGCTAGAATACCGTGGCTGAATGGATTTATACCACAGATGGAACTGATGCAGAAATCATTTTGCAAGTATTGTGAGACTCATACAGTCCTAATTATCTTTCAGTATCTACCTTTGAACCTAGAAAAGTTGAAAGGAAGACAATGAATACACATTCCAGAAGAAAATAAACCAAAATGTCAAGTGTACCATATATCTAAAGGGACAGAAACTAGCTGAGGATGTATTTCTTGAGTCTCTTGCATCAGAGTGCAGCAGGGACTAAAGTTCTGAGGGTTATTTTGGTTTTCAAAACACATTACAGAGACAGACATACTTCTGGAACCAGTGGAACGTTGACTAGTTTGAAGTGGCTTGGACTCTGTCTGTGATGTATGTTTTAAGATGTACCTGGATATTTGGTTAACATGGCACATCCCTGGCAGTGTTCAAGGCCAGGCTGGACACAGGGGCTTGGAGCAACCTGCTCTAGTGGAAGGTGTCCCTGCCCATGGCAGGGAGTTGGAACTGGATGAGCTTCAAGGTCCTTTCCAACACAAACCATTTCATGATTTTATAATTCTGTGGCTCCCCTGTGACTTACTACCATTCCCCTATATAAAACTTGCAGATAAATCAAAAAGGAGACAGCAGTCATTCCCTCTGAATCACAGCTTCTGATACAAACACAGCTCACTTCTGCACATCCAGGGTCAAACACAGACAAGAGACTGCCCAGGAGTGACTAGCCATAGTACTGTAGAATCATTCTCCTACAAGATTTGGTTTTAAAATAAAATATTCTATCTTATTTTAAGCTGAATGGGCAAAAGAGAAGGAGAATTAATTTCACATCCTGAATGCTGTTCATAGGTCATAGAAACTGCAGCAAGGGTTAGAGGAAATCTTTTCCCAGAGTGGTTTAGGTTTCACTGGTGTGGATTGACAGTGCTGGCCTTTTTGAGGGAGGCTTGGTCAGGATCCTACACAAAATGCACAGTTAGACTGAGAAAGCACCAGCAGTGCTTGTGCTAACACTAGTAAGTTAGTGAATGTCTAGAACTCACCACATTCTCCATGACTCCTGTCCTGTTGGCAACCTCACATTCCTCTGCATGCCCATTGCAGAAGCAGCTTCCCCGGATGATCAGGTCATAAATAGCATAGTGGGCAAATCTCTGGGGTTTCTCCACCAATCCCAAACCATGGCAGGGACATTCCTGTCTTTTCAACAGAAGGAGGCGGAGGTTGGTGAGTTTCAGGAGATCTTGAGCCTCAGGACTGTAGGGGTCTTCAATCTTGTTAGCCGGACTTAAGGCACGATAGATCACCTGAAAGACAGAAGATACACATCCAAGAAGAGATGTAGGACTCTGCATACACAGCAAACATCCCAAAGTGATGCTCAGTAATAGTTCCTATTTAGAAGACTCTGCATAAGCAGTTGTGGGGCTGTGGCTGATCCCAGAACACCACAACAAATGATTGTGTACCTGCTTTCACTCCTGTGAGATAGGAAGTGCCTGTCTCACAGGAGTGAGATAACTAAGTGAGAGAAGGAGTTTAAACATCTCTCCCTGGGGTTACTGAGCCCAGTCACTTCTTGCTGTTCAGCAGACTAGAGAGCTGGTTGCATTCATACCCAGGATTAGATGTCCTCTGTCATGTCCATGCTAACTCCAAATTGAGAGCAATATCCAACTTTGGCTGAGTTTTTCCATCATAGCAGAGGGACTTGCCCTTGGGGTTCTTCGGCCCTGCCTTATAAATGGTGACAGTGCCTGTCTGACTGACTCCATCAGTGGAGTGAAAGCTTTTTGTTTCCATAGGGATTCTCTTTCTCTCTCTTTGTGTGCTTTTTTCTTTCTAGTGAACTGACCAATTTGACTACTTGCAGCATATACAATACTTTCGCTTCTTTTTGCTTGCAGGAGCCAGAAAAGAGCTTGTGGGACATGCCTGGAAGAGAATTCCGTTGCATGTTGATGGCACATAGGGAGATAAACCCCCTTAAACTAACAGAATCAGCTGCCAGGCTTCACACAGAACTACACCAGGCTGTACAACAGCAAAGTAGTGGTACATTTCCCACCTGCCCACTGCATCTTCTGTTTTCTTTCTTGTTTTTTCCTGTATTTCCTTTCTCTTACACTGTCAGCTACTCACAAAGCTGCAAACAGCCCTGTTGGTGAGTCCAGAGGTGCCTGTGTTTCCCTGCTTGATAGAGCTGTGGGCAGATTGCCCAGGCTGTGCGATGCAGGTGCCTACATTCCCCTGAGCAATGAAGCCATGATAAAACAGCCCTGGCCTTTCCACCTCAATGTCTACATTCCCCCAGCCAATGGAACCATAAGCAAATGGCCCATTCTGCTTTGTCCAGGTGCCCAGCATTCCTCTTACTGATGGATTCACAGACAAAGCCCCAGTCTCCGCTTCCCAGTTCCCCAGGTCTGATCTTTCTAGTGGAAACCAGTTTCATGAACCCTGTCTCCTTCTTCCCAGCCCCCTGTGGACCACACAGAGGTGAAGGGGTTTCTCAGAGTCCTGAGGACCTGGTTGTGTACAGACACACATGTCCCTCCACATGGTCAGTTAATCAAAGACCAAGGCAATGAACTGGATGGAATTGTTCTGCAGAGGTCAGACATCTTAAAGCAGGATTAAAAACTAACTAGTGTGATATTAAAGGTTAAAAGTCCTTGTGAAACTGTTTTAAATTGGCATAAAACAGAGAAATCAAGGGTAAAGCAGTTTGTTGAGCTGCTGGATTTTATAAGCTCTACTCTCACACTTAGCTTTCTTGTCCATGGCTTCTCTAATATATATGCTTAGTAATAGTGGTATCTCCTTTCAGGATAGCTCTCTGGAGGATACCTACAGACTAGTGGCTTGAGAACACAAATGCAAGAGGTACTTTGCTGCAGGACAAGACGTCTGAATAAAGGTAATCAATATGTCATTAGCTTCTGCGAGGTCTGCACTGGTCCTGCACTGACCTCCTTAAACAAGGCTGGGCAAGAGGCTTAATGTCTCTGTGACCCAGAGATCCCAGTTGTGAACAGCTATGGATCTCCTCGCAGGAGACAGGAAGGGTGAATGAGGTGAAGAACAAGAGTTTTTACTGGGCCTCTCTGAAGGAAATGACTAGATAATGGCCAAAGTGCTTCTTTTTACTCAATATCTCTGGCATTAGACTTCTGCTTGATGACAATAGTCTTGCATTATGCTGAGGAGGAAATCTTTTGTGTTGCATTGCACTACTAGAAACCTATTTTGTACACAGTATGGTAAGTTTAAAGAGATGGATTCATGTTTTGGGATCTCCAGTCAATTATCCATCCTCCCCATGCCTTAATGGCATCCATATAGCACCGAGTTCTTTCTTCAGGCAAAAGAGCAGCTGTTGGGTGCTTTTCTCTCAGCACAGGGCCATTTGCTTTCACAAAGCTGGATTGGGTTTTGTTTCTTTGCTTGACAGCTTGGAAGAAGGTTGGGTTCCCTGTGGGTTTATTGTCTTGCAAATATTTTCATTTCTGGCCTTACATCTCTTGAGGAGAGTTACTCTGGCATTTTCCATGTCCCCTTAGAGCTCTGAACATTATTTGTGAGTAGAGATGTTAATAACTCAGATGTCCCATAGGGATTGTGGCATCCTTTTAAGAATAAAAACAGTATTCCATTCCAGTTGAGGTACAGGAGTTTGTATGATTAATTCATGACACATTTCTGTCTGGAATAAGCTCAGTGGTGAGATTGCATTTGCTTGTCCTTATCTCTCCCAAGGCAAGACTTGTTAAGTGTTAAAGATCTGATTTGGGTGACATAACACTAGTGGAGTCTTTTGGGAGTGGAATTTATATGTTCTTGGATTCAACAGCCACTAAGGAATTAGCCTTCCTTAACTTAGTAAAATCAAAGTTATTGAGGACTTACTTACTTAGACAAAGGCATTTGCTATCAGCAGAGTCAAAGTAGATACGCTGTGCCAGTACTGGTAGGTTTAGGTGAGCTGCATTTTGCACAGATGTAGCACAGCTTTGTTTTATATTTAAATCAGTTTAGCAACATTATTTCATATATGCATAAAACTGGAAAACAGAATTTCCCTCTCTCTTCCCTCCTGGAGGACATGTTCTCCTTGAAATATTGATGGTTAAAACCCTTGTGCACAAGGAAGAGTATAATATAATCAGCACCTCTTGGCTCAAATTTAATACTGGATTGGTTTCTTCTCACATTAAAGTGCCAGCCATTAGATCTTCCTTAACATATGTGTTCCCTACTGGCAAGAGCAATATGTCACAATCCATAAGTTGTATTTATTAGTCTACTATGTGAACTGATTCAAGCAATTGTAGAGGGGGAGGAATGTTTAGAACAAATCTGATATCTCATCTTACATGCCTTGAATTATTTTTCTATAAATGCATAATTTACCTAAGAAAAACCCAAAACCAAACCATTAAACTTTTTTTTCTGCACTAAAAAGTCATGATTATATTTTAAATGAATGTGTTTGGGTTTATGGTTCCTTAAGAAGAAACGATTCCTAAATTAGGAGTCACATTGGTGGTGGTTGTATGGATGGGTTGGTAATTTTATATGGGACAGGGGAGAATTTCATTTCTGTAAAAAAAGAAGAGAAATCACTGTGACCAAAAGACAGGGTTGGGAATGTGAGTGCTTGGTCAGTGCCAGAGTGTTCCTATTTTTTTAGTTCACAAGGTTTATGCTTCTGAAGCCTATGAAGCAGATTCTTTCTGTACAGGTGGATATTTGACTTCTACTTTTTGCAGAAAGGCAGAAATATGCTTCATTTTTCATTTCCCAGACATAACCATCCAAATGTGCAGTTTCCCATTATATTCATGTAAAAGACATGAAGAGACTGCAATGAACAAAAAAGTGTTTTCTTTTAATGAAGGCAGAAGCTCTGAAAAGAGCTTCCCATGATGTTCACTGTAAAGCTATTTCTCATCTAATGAAATCTCTATCTGGTATCAAGCTCTGTTCTCTTTTTGCTGTAACAGACTGCTCAGAATGTCCCAGTCATTTCTCTGAACATCAGTGTGCAGCTTTCATACAAGCAGCATGTGCACACAGCAGAGAAACTCTGATGCCAACCAGGTCTGCTAAGGGGCACCCTAGGAATCTCTCTGCTTCCATTGAACTGTGTGGAAGTAAAGGGTATTCAGCACCTCTATAGTCTCAACTCTTTGTGGAAATACATCCTAGATCCTGAGTTTCCCTTATAATCAGGAGCTGCCACTGGAGCTAAACGCTGAGTAGGACATTCACGCTTATCTGCATATCTGCTATCAAGCGCATATTTGTCATTCTCATCTTCAAAAGTCAATCAGGCTGCGCCTCAAAAAGATGGTCACTGCCCTGTCCTCTGCTGACCTTTCTGAGAGCAAGGAAGTCTGGAGAATGCTGTCAGTGTGCAAAGCTAAGAAGGTACCTACTGTTCGAGGCCTGGTTTTGCTGTACACAAGTTGGCACAGCTTCACATGGGGCAATGTTTTATCACCAATCAAAAGAGCATCTTCATTCCGGAGACAGGGTCTCAGATTTTTGATTCCTTGCCATGTGCTTTGCTGCACCATTCCTGATGCAGATAATTCTGTTTTCTTAACCTGATCTTCCAGCCAGTATTAGTCAGAAAAGATGTGGACACAGCAAAGGTTCCCCCTTGCAAGCTTATAGCCTAAGGTCAAAGAATCCAAGTCATAACTGGAGGGCAGTGCCAATGCATGGCCTGCTACAAAAGAAGATCCTGTGCAGAACAAGAATTTGATATTACAAACCATCCTTAAGCTATGCTGATCGTGTTGCACACGATCAGGTTAATGAGGTCAGAAATGTCTGTGTGCTTATTCTAGGCCCAACAGAAGGAAGCTGCAATAAAAACTCTCATCAGCTCTAAATCCCTTCATTAAGAGATTTTCATGTGAGTTGATTTTGTTCTTAAAGGAATAGTAAACAATTGTCTCAGAATTTTTCCTGCCCAGTGGCAAATATCCTCTGATTCATTTGATGGAGCCCCTTGGCTAAAACTAATTCTTCTATCTTGTGGTACAGTCGTCTTCACTAAGTAGTCTTTTTCCTGTTTGGAAATACTGTTGGAGCACAAAGAAAGTCTAGCTATTCTTTTAGCTATTAGAAGGCTCATTCTGATGATTCATGGAATAGTGATTTTTAGTCAGGATCCATTGCTTTTCTGTCCTTCCAGAGAATAAAACTTAGAAGTCAGTATAAAATATGACAGTTTGTTAATGAAATGTATGTGCAGTTGATTATTTAACTCGATCTGGATAGACTCAGCTACTAC